GATGGCAGGTTTGGCTCTTTCCAAATGCCAATGTTAATTTATGACCATAATTTTTAAACAGACTGTGTAAAAGTTGCATGTCCCATTTGTAAATTGAACCCCCGAGCTTCTACACGACAGCATTGCTATTCACCACTGTGCCATGCCCGACAACGAAGAAAGGATGCATTTAACTTAAAGAGTTATAAACGCCTAGATGCTCAATTTTGAAATTTTATTTCGGTATTCGAATTTTAAATTAGGCGCTCAAATATTGCTATTTATCAAGGCAAATGCTTTGAGAAAAATGAAGAACTGAATGCTAAAATTATCCCTTCTCCTCCACACTTTCAGGAAATGCTTGAAACAAACACCTGAAGCAATGTTACTTTATTTGGTACTAATTACCTGCAATGTTTTATTGCATTATAAAAAAAGACGAGTAATCCTGAATACTAATCTATTTTCTGTTTTTTTTTTTCAACAACAATTAGCATGTGTATAGACTTAACATGCTTACCAAACCATTAGAGCGATATTCAAAATAAACACTGTACATACAAGAAAACTTTCAATCAAAATAAAAAAAAATTTCATGAAAAATAATGATATGTGATTTTTTCTCATAATTTCTGGGCTGTACTGTTCAACTTTTTGTATATGAGTGCTGGAACACACTAAGATACCACGAGCATCCGGGCAGTCGATGGGAGATCCTATGTTAATGGCATTACTGGAATGCTCTCATACACCGGATGCAGCCATGATGTTGTCCTAGAAAGTGACTAGTTGCCTTCCGTGTTCTAGAGAACCAACAGTATTTTGATATATTAATTGAATACTTCCATTAGCTTTACCGAAAACCTTTGGACTCATGCATTAGCGAGGGATACCCATGAGGATCGCTCAAATCAGGATCGCTCAAATCAGGTCACTCAATCAGGTCATCAGGTCATCAGGATCGCTCAATCAGGTCTCAATCAAATCAGGTCAACGATCGCTCAAATCAGGCGAAAAAATGGCTACTAACTGGAGGTATGCAGTTCGGGATTGAAGCCTCTAGCATAACTGCTTATAAAACGATCATCTATGGAGTCTTCTGACTGAAGATTTGCTTATTTGGAAAGGAGTAGGCCAGTTATTATCCTGTTTCTCACTTTCTGATGGCTACTGAGTTGTGTCAAAAACTACACAAGCATAGCATGCAAATTGCTGCTTTGTTCACGCAAGTTATCGGCGACCCATAGATGGCAACATACATTGGACCGGTGAGAGGAAACAATTCTGGAAATCACCAATGGTATCCGGTATCGCACGACGATCAATAGCAGCAGTAGCAGCAGCTCTTAGAGGCCTTAGAAGTCTATTAGCGTCTAGAGGTGACGCTGGTAGAGACGGCAAATAGGTTGGTTTCCTGAAATAGAATCTAAGAAGAGAAGAACTTTAATCAGATTCATGTAATTAAACATCTCAAAATAATGAGAGCAACAATTAAGGAGGAAATCTGTATTATTAAAGAAAACTGCACTGACACCGTTGTGTTAAAGGCAATGACGCACAGACACAAAATAATTTCGCCGAAAAAAACGAATGTGCAAGTGCAATCACCATATGAAGAGGAGGATATTCTTGGCACGAAGCAAGTGCTAAATTATTACCAATTTTTTGAGAAAGGCTAAATTATTCAACAAATGCCATATTATTCACCATTCATTTGTTACGGGGATCCCGCGAAAAGCTGACAATTGTTGAAAGCCTACAGCTACTAAACAATACAGAGCGGAGGTGCTTTGCATATGATGCTTCAGCTGAGCACAAAGAGGTAGCGGTGCGGTGCTCTAGCAGTTACATGCGGGTATGAAGACGAGTGATTCGGTTCCCTCCCTGTCCATAACTTATTTTCAAAAAGACGCTTGATCTGCAAGGCCATTTATGCACATTTGCTTTTGTCTTTTTTCTATGTTGCTAATCAAAAATTTTAGAGAAAACAGTAAATAACTTTTAAAAATTTACTTTCCCATAAACATTCTCATGATGTGGTGTGCATTAAGTCGTTTCTGATATGGTGCTTGCAGAAGTTCAGTGTCAGCTTCAGCTCCAACTGCATCATCGGTGAACAATTGACCAACCACGTCTGTGAACAGGCAGATTCCAGCCAATGCAGCTAGCAGCCAGGAATGAGGCCGATACCGACTAGCAGTGACCATCGAATTCGTTCCCAAATTCTGAAGTTTACTGCGAAAAGCAAACTTTTGAAAAAGCTTAAGTAAAAAGGCACAAACGCCGTGCATGCAATTTGCATTTCTCATATGGCAAGGTACCCTCAACGTGGCCGGAAATGACAACGCTTGAAGGTAAGGTGACGATCCTCAAAATACACCGTAAAATCTTCAACTGACTATAGTTTGTTTTTGTTACGAGAGATCCACTGAGTCGATAATCCCTTTGAGGGCGAAAGGAACATCAGAACTTCCAGAAGGCTAACTACCAGGCAATGTAACATCGGTCAAAAGGGAATAAAAAAGAAGGAAATGGCATGACTGTTGACTACGCCGCCAAAGTATCAGTGGATGAAATAGCAGTCGTTTTGAAATATCCGTCTATGTGATTTGGATGCAACTGCAAAAGCTGCAGCGCTGACTTTAAGAAATTAAATAAAGTAGAAAAGACTGGATGACAACGAAATGCCAGTCCATAAGAGGTTCAAAAACGTGGGCTAGAAACAGATTCGAAGTGTCACCGCAAAAAATACCGATGTACACTGGGAGCCCGGCGGAAAAAAAATGCCGATGTACACTGGGAGGTTTTCTTGTACAGTAGCAACAAAGATCGTGGAAATAGCTTCCTTGGATTTTTTCTTTTTGGTTTTGTGATTTCTAGGACTGTCTGATAGGCAGACAAACCTGCGCACAAAAGCGCATTTAATCTCATAACACTGCTTTTTTACGCTGCATTACAGGTGCAAAAAAGCATAAAAAAGCTGAACATTGAATGCCCCTATAGTATCCCAAACAGAGAATATTATTAGAAAAAAAACACATGATAAGGTCATCAGTACCAAGATTTGAGAATTGAATTTTTATTCTCTATACAAGAGAAAGGATAATCTGTGATAACCAAAAGTGCTTCTATTGGCAAAATTCTCGAACAACTAATATTCTCAAAAGGACAAAACAAATTTCAAAATCGCCAACAATCTGCCTATCAAGCCATGCGGCACTTAGCAAAACAACTGAAAATACCAGTAGCTGATGAGAACGCTAATGAACTGCAACTGAAGCTTAAAAAATTATTATCATCTCGTTACTTACATTTGTTGAGGTAGAAGTGGAGAGCAAACGAGCGCTGATTGCAAAAATATGCATAAGTACTATAATAAAGACTCACCGCTTTCCCTAGCGGGTGTTTTACATCTCTATTTTCAA